TATATATATATATATACACACACATATATATACACACACACACATATGTATGTATATATATGTATATATATATATTTATAAAAGCAGCTTTTGAAATGCTCCTTAAAGACATCTGTAGAGATTCTAATCATATGCCCTAATGCTGCAGAAGACAAAGCTAATTAACTATATGATACCTGAATAATAAATCTTTGAATTTTAAACTGTTTCTTTTTTCCTATCACAATTAAAACTGTATGTGTTAGTTTAGCCCTCTCATTTCCTCCAAGAGTAATTTCTTTTCTTTTAATTTTAGAGAGAGAGAGAGAGAGCAGGGAAGAGGAGCAGAAGGAGAGAAAGAGCGAGAATCTTAAGTAGGCTCTTTGCTCAGCGCTTAGCATGGAACCCGACACGGGGCTCAATCCCATGACTCTGGGATCATGACCTGAGCTGAAATCAAGAGTCAGTTGCTCAACTGACTGAGCCAGCCAGGTGCCCCTCCTCCAGGAGTACTTTCAGTTTAACTGAGATATAGATAATCTTAATTTTTCATGAGCATCAAAACAATGGACCAAGCAAGATTTCTGTAATTTCTAGGATGGAGATCCTTGGGAACAGAGAATGTGCAAGAAAGAACCTTATTTCATATATTCAGGGGTTTTCTCTCTCCTTCATTTCAAGAGTAAGAAATTATTAGTTGTTAAATGGTATTATATGGATCGTTAGAGGCCATTAGAAATATGCAGTATTTACAGATATTATATGCGATGGGAGGAGTTATTTTAATTCTTATACCCTGTAAAGAGGGTATAAGGTATATTCAAGCTATTACATATCAAGAATTCATTTTATGCATTCAGAATTACAGTGTTAGACTCTATTTGGCATAACAATTTCTGCTGGAGTTCACACTGCAGATGAAAGATAGTCCCTGTGTTTCCTATTCTTTTTTAATATGTCTATTTATATTAATAGCATGATTTAATACATCACTTTAAAATTATATTGCACTTTGAACTGCATTTAGTCAAAAATTGACATCTTATATGTATGGAACCATAATAAGTTTAGCATTAAATTAAGGAGTCCTCTGTCTGTTTGTTAAAATGTAGTATTTGTGAATTCTAGCATGTCCAAAGGCAGGTAATGAGATTGAAAAGTCAGTCTCGTGTTACATTGGTTTGTCAATTTTACCTTACGACTTACTAGTTTTAGGGAATGTTTCTTTGGTCACAACCTACCGTTGTGTTTATATTTTGAAGTTGCTGGATCCCTTATGATTGTGGTTGAGAGCAAAATATCTCTACCAGTGACATAATGGCATGAGTCGCTCTGGTCACCTATGACTTACTCCAAGATGTAGTTCTACGGCGTACTGTGAAATTGGCAAATCTGTTCTGTGTGTGTTCTAATGGATGTAACGGTCATTAAGTATATGAGTCTTCTGACGTTGTAATCAGATGTGATTCAGTCTGTTAAATATCCATGAAACAACATCTGCTTCGCAGAGTGACCTTCTGCTAAAGAATACTTAGCGTCTTTTAGCGGATCATAAGGCAGGTCTGCCTTATTTGAAATGCACTAAACTAGAGTAGTCTACTGCTGTTTAGCAGCTAGCTTGTAATAATTTATTGCAGTTAAATAAAGCTTAAAAAAAAACCTCCATTAAATAATTATAGGGATTATATGCATTTCGAAAACCTTTGTGTTCCACCGAAATTACCCATTTAATTTCAGGGTCGGTTTGTTAAAAAAAGCTGAAGTCTGAAGGCACATTAGGGGAGCTGTCAGACGCTGTTTTCTGTAGGTGTTAATAAAACCAGATGAAAAAAATCTGAAACAAATTAAAACCAAAACCAATTTTACCATCTGTTGTATATTAATTAGTACTCCGTGTATCAAGGGTAAATTCGCTCTTCGAGAATGTCACTGAACACCCGCTTAATAGAATAATATGCAAATTGATTAGGATATGGGTTTAAATGCAGATTTTAATTCTAATTCATCTGTAGTGGATCCCCAAGACATTGGTGGTGTGTGTAGATGTGTATGTACACACACACACACACACACACACATATGTACACGTACTCATACATAGAATGAGTTTCTTTTTCTTTTTTTCAGAGCAACCTGCAAACAACCAAGGCCAGCCCACCCTTCCGCCTCTGCCACCACCCCATAAGCAGCACCCCGCACAGCACCATCCGTCCATCACTTCTCTCAACAGAAACTCCCTGACCAATAGAAGGAACCAGAGTCCGGCCCCGCCGGCTGCTTTGCCCGCCGAGCTGCAAACCACACCCGAGTCCGTCCAGCTGCAGGACAGCTGGGTCCTTGGCAGTAATGTACCACTGGAAAGCAGGTAACTCCTCTGTGGGAGACTCTCAGATTATCTGATCGTTAGGGCCGCACAGCGGATCTGCATGCATCGATATTCTAGAGTAGTCAACAGACTGTGTTGTTTTAACATCGAACATTTACAGATAAACTAGTCTAACCCTTTTCTTGCTAAAAAAAAGTTAGCATACCTCTGTGCTGTGTGTTACCAGCCATTTTTTAGTTGCCGGGCCCGTGAACTTTCCTGTCCTTTTCACACATTGTGTCAGGCTACATGAGACAAGAGTAAATGGCCTCAGTAAAACTCCTCTTTACTGCGGGTTTTTTTTTTTTCTTTCTTATTGACAAGTTAGCAGGCATGTCAAGAAAAAGTCAGAGATGTAAAATGTGACTCTCAATTCTGTATAGAGGGTGATGCAGCGAACATGTGTAGCATATACTTAGTTCTAGACGTCCCTACTTTTACAGGCTACATCGTGTCCGTTACATCATAAAACCATAGTGGATTCCTAGGTGTAATAGTCAGATGAGCATTTGTTAAGGATATTTTAGTCTCTCGCAACAGAAAGAGGATAGGACCTATTATCTACAGTTCCTTCCAGAGTGACTGCCCAAGACATCCCATTCATTCTTAGACAGTAGTATTTGACGGTAAGATTTTTCCTTACAATGAACTGATATCTCTAACTCCTGAAATAATTTTGCCCCCTTTCTGTACGATGGCCTACAGGCTTCACCATCTTGTCTTCCAGAGGCGTCTCCAGCTGAGTGCCCTTCCTCTGCACATGTACAGGTGTTCAGTGAGGTTCTGAAATTATTACTTAACACAGGTTGGCCCACAGGTAGCAAACCACTCATACAAAAGCATAGATCAGGAAGAGCTGTTTTGAATTAATCCGTTGACTTTGTAAATATCTCCGGGCACAAAAATTTGTCCCTTCTTTGGCCAGACCCTGTCTTCTTTGCACCGTGTATTTACACGAGAGAATATGGCGTCCTACCTCACTGGCCTCCTATTGACAGCTTTGTGACAAAGTTCCCCTGACATTCCTATCATTATTTATTTCTTTTCTGCCGTAAACTTCCATCAGGCTCAGAGAGAAAGAATCATCACCACACGAAAGCCAGAAAACGGAGGACTCCAGACCCCCGGGAATATCCCCCCAAAATGCCTTGCCCCATAGAGTCCCTGGCTAATGTCAGCATTTAAATTAGCTTCTGGATAAAGAAATAGGTTTCATAGTGAATAAATTGGGATTTTTGGGGTTTTTTTGGCCATTAAATGCATGATCTAAACCAAGTCTGCAATGAGAATGAGCTATCCGGAGGTCCTCACAGTTAAATAAGTTAACAGTACAAATCTTTTTCTTCTCCTTTACTCTTGACCTAGGACCAAGGTTCCAAAGAACTCCGGTCTTTTCACCGTAGCGTCAGGCAAGAGTAGTTGGCTTTTATTGTTTATTTTGTATTATTGAACGCTCGTCTGGGATGGATTAGAAAGAGAAAGTACAGAAGTAGGCAGGAAGGAAATTTCTTCACTTATAACAAGAGTCATGTCTACAAAATTTTTTCCCCCTGCGGTTATTAGCACAGAACTAAATTTACCCTGTGTAATTAATTAGCACACACTGAACAACTAATCAACACTGATTCACTGTTGTCATTTGGAAAAATTTTATTAGGAAAAAAGTAATTTTCCAGTTGAGTCATCAAATTGAATATGGATAATTGCATTGTAGTTAACAATAATTGTTTTGACAAATATGTATGAAATGTGTCAAGTTAAGTCAGCAGAAACGTGTTTAGTGTTAGGGATGTCGTGTGGCACAGAAGCGTCAAAAACTGTGTCAGTAGGAGAGTTGGGATTCTTTGAAGCCAAGTCTTCTCGTGAAGATATTTGGAATAATTTGGGGGAAAGATAAGGTGCATTCTTATTATTCCTCGTATTGTACTAATGAGTCTGTTCCTTTTTGGTGGGAAGTTAGGAAAGCAAATAGCTGTTTAGAGGACAACCCATCGTAGCTGATTGCTCCCATATTCAGACCATATAAGAAATCACTCTCAGGATGATCTCAAAGCAATACCGTTTGAAATTCCATTTCAAAGCAATGCCATGAGTGACCCATCAAACAGCGTTACATTGTTTAGTTTTGTGAATGTACACAGGAAGAAAATCTCCCAGTTGATAGCATCTCACTAACATAGAAATATATAGAGTAATGAATCAAAACATCATATATCATGCTGAAAAAAATTTCAGTCTGTTGTCCCGTTTTGTCATCTTCTCATTTGCAGAGGTCCACGTCTTATAATATTGCTGATCAAAAGAAAATGGTATTTGAGCTTTGCACATACGCAGTGTATCAACCTAAGCAGCGATGTGAAAATCTCACACTGTCCTGACCTGCTGGGGTTTCTTTAATAGTCTCACTTGGTTGGAGCTCTTGAGGTGAAGAACCAGTCTTATCTGTCATTGATTTTTCCTTTCTTAGTTAAGGTTCCCTATCGAGTATGATTCTCAGGTTCAGTTTCAGCTACATTAACAACTTCATCCAGACGTGGGTCTGCCATTGACTGGTTTTTAATCTGGAGCACAGTTTCGTCTTCGCCAATTACTTCTGTTTACACATATACTCATGTTACGGATTCTCACTTTTCTGGAACTGTCGTTTAAAGGATGTCAGTTACAGAGCATGAAATTCAGTTATGGGTGTGTAAGAATCTGTTTTGTCTCCTCCCCCTTTCTCCTGCCAGCATGCACTGATAATTACCGCTTGCAAATTGGCATGTAATAACCCATGAAACTCTCCGTAATTTGTAGACTTAGTCCATATGAGTTGGTAGAGAAGACATCAGAGATTCTCCACCTTGTCCTGTTTCCTTCCATGCAGCATCTGTACTGATTTATTAAAAAGCATTTTTTTTTTTTACCAGCAGTTTCTTGCTTCCATAACAATGCTTATTTCCTTTCTCTAATGAATTTAACATTTGCTGCTGCTGGAGACAATCGATATTATTGTGTACTGTACGTTCCTCCTCAGTAAATAGAGCGGTTCTGGTCTATAATCTCTAGTGAGTTTCAGATCTCCTAGAGTCACATCCAGACCCAGACGAGCGTTTGCAATTTATCAGCATTTCCTTAGTTTCTCCCCGTCTCCAATAAAAAGCAGTCAGCGCCCATGCATAATACCCATCCTCGCTTAGAGTATTCCTTCAGGATTCCTTTTCTTTGCACTCACTATTTCTTACACTTTGTAGGGTTCAGTTCTGGGCATTTGCTAGTCTATCGCTCATGCCTTGTTTATTTTATACTTCAGCTGCCTCAGTGCATGATAATGGCTGCTAACACATTGTAGAGCCGCCGAGGAAAGGCTAGGACTTGACCCAGTACAGCAGCAGCCCTTAAAGGTGTAGTACAGTAACTCGCATCGGGAGCCCTGACCTTCAGCAATTGTGAAGTTAATTGCCTGCAAGGTCTTCATTTATATATGTGAATTAAGTAGCTTAGTAGTTACCTATTAGACGTTAACAAAATGGTTCATTTGTAGCCATTTAATAAAAGATTTATTAAAGTCTTGTTTTATTATGAAGTCTACTTGGGCATTGATAGTTCATTAGTTATGTTCCCATAGCTCTTTACCTTGTAGTTCACTAATGCTTTGCTAATTATTAATGTATGAAATTGCCTATTAAATTACCTCTTTATTATTGCATTTTTTATTTAAATATTTAAATGTCCCGGGCTGCTCTAATGTGAGATCAGTTGCTACGGTTTTGTAAAAAATACCTAAGCGGAAGTATTACTTACTAAATTAAGATATTCTCCCTTTCTTCCCCCCTTTTATCCTCACTGTGAATGGTTCTAGGGAAAGGCAAGACACTCATACAAGCGTCAGGTATCAGTCAGCCTTTCCTATTAGAAATCCAGGCAGCGGTCTACACTTGGTGGCCTTACCCTACCACGGAACGCTTTCCCAGGTGAAAAACGGTACCATCACCTGAATGCTTGTAACCCACTACCTTTAGCAAGACAGTAAGTAGTTCGATCCTCCATAATTACGGATACAGCGTTAAGGAAAATATTCCTGGGAGGGTAATCCACTGACTTAAGATTATGGACTGATACCATATCCTTTTGTCAAGGGGAGTCTGGGGTCACCCGCGGGCACCTGTGGGGAAAAGGAAACCATCACGGCCCATTGAAAGAGATACAAAAATGAAGAAGCTAGGGTCACTCCACGTGGGATCTGGGCCTAGGCTAAGAAATTCTTAACCTTTGGGGCGCCTGGGTGGCGCAGTCGGTTAAGCGTCCGACTTCAGCCAGGTCACGATCTCGCGGTCCGTGAGTTCGAGCCCCGCGTCAGGCTCTGGGCTGATGGCTCAGAGCCTGGAGCCTGTTTCCGATTCGGTGTCTCCCTCTCTCTCTGCCCCTCCCCCATTCATGCTCTGTCTCTCTCTGTCCCAAAAATAAATAAAAA